AAATTGCTTTGAGAATCTGCTGTTTACGGTCTAAAGACCTGCTGAGCAGACAGCAGGGGCAGAATCACATCTCCCAGGATAATCCCTTCTCCAAGGAAAGGCAGGAAACGAAGTCCTGGACTCTGACGTCCTGGCGGTTTTTATCTACCTGCTGCCGAGAAGAAAGGAAGGATTGAGTAAATAAGTCTCTTCTTTCTACCCTGATCTCTGTCTGAGAAATCTTCCTCCACCGCTCCGAGAGCACCTCCTAAACTTTCCACGCTAATGCTGTTCATTTTCTTAATGAAGTATAAAAGCTTTGCAATTGGATAAACTAATTTATCATATTTTTTTAATGGATCTGGCTTTTGGTATCTTATCTAAAAAAGTCTTTTTTAAACCAAAACAGAAAAAATAAGACACTCTCCTCTGCTTTCTTCTGGAAGTCTTGTAGCACTAGCTCTTACATCTGGATCCCTAACCCCTTCCGAGTTAATTTAGATGAAGGGTATGAGTTAAGGTGTCTGTCTGTCTTCCTGTCTGTAAACAACCAAGTGTCTCAGCCGCTTGTTCAGCATAGATTGGATCTCTGCTACGTGCATGATTTGCCTCTGCAAAATTTCCCTGGTGTGAATGTTGGAGCTGCCTTGCCAGAGCCCCCAGGGCACACTGGCAGTTAGAGCTTTTGTTTAAAAATTGCTGACATAAGGATGCAAGCAGGGTGAGACAGATCCTGCAGGTAAGTCTCAGGGGAATTCTGGGTGGTGCAGAAACTCCCTGTGCACGGGCTTCCCGGGGGGCCACCTGCCTCTTCTCATGATTAAAGCACTAAGGACAGTCGGAGGAATCTTGGTTTCTGGGAGGCTCAAAGCAGACACGGAGGGGGCGTGAGATGGGGGTAGTTCTTCCTACTGGAGTTAGTTCTCTGGTTACTTGCCTGTCTAACCGGTCAGGCCAGTTGCAAATGTTCAAACCTGCTTGCAAACCTCAAATACAGACACAGACCCTGGGGTCTCCGGGGGAGGTTTAAAGTTTAACCGGCACATTGTAAATCCCCTGAGGCCCTTATCTTAGCAAGAGTCAAAGACCAGACTTGCAGGCGTCCCCGGAGATAAAGGCAGGCCCCTTCCAGCTCTGAGTCAACTATTCCCTCTCCCAGGCCCCCTGGCCGCCCCGTCCTTATGTCCTTATTGGAGTCCTGGGGCTCAACCCTGCCTCCTTCCTCTGGAAGTCTGCAGACAAAAGCTGCTTCTCCCGAGGTCTGTTTCCATTTTCCCTCCACTCACAGACCTGCCGCAGGCTTGATGTGCTCTGGGCTTGTTTGGCGGCCAGGGAAATGCATGACAAGTGTCAACAGCAAAGAAGCCAAACTCTGTAAAAAAATTTAAGAACTTTATTCTGAGCCAAATTTGAGGACCATGACCCAGAGCCAAGCCCAGGAAGCCTTGAGCAAGTGGACTGGCCGTGGCTGGGTCACGGTTTGGTTTTACGCATTTCAGGGACACGGGGGTTACAGGTAAAGTCCTAAATCAATGCATGGAAGGTGGACATTGGTTTGGCCTGAAAAGGTGGGACATCTCAAAGTGGGGGGGGAGGGATTACAGGTTACAGGTGGGTTTAAAGACTCTTTGAGTTGTAATTTGGTTAAGGACATGAAGCTTTGTCTAAAGCCTTGGAATGTTTTAAGACAAGTCAGTCTGTTAATCAGAGACGAGCCACTGGACACATATTTGTTGTGTAAATTGAGGACCTGCAGGTGTGACCAGCACAGCCTCAGCCTGCCAGTGAGTCACAAAGGACATCCCCAAGAAGGGAGGGGCAGGATGAAGAGGCAGGTCTGACCTCCCTCCTCCGGGCCAGTAACTCAGTTTCAGGGCGTCCCCTTGGCCAGGAGGGGTCCATCAGTCAGCCTGTCGGGGGAGCCTTAAGACTTTATTTTAGTTCACAGAACAAATGACGTGCAAGTTAAATACTGACAGTGTTAGGGCACAAGGGAGGTGATAAAGACTCTGCTTGGTCAAACTGTAGCCAGCCTCTGGAACCTCCTCCCAGGCCCAGATGCATCCATCTGTGAAATGCAATGTTAGCAAGAGCCTGCTAAGTCCGGCAAGAAGCCCCCACCCTGGGTGTCTGGTCAGCTCCTCATCCTCCTTCACCTGCCCCCAGGTGCTGTCTGGTCACCTGGGCTGTCTTCTGCCAGAACCCCCTGCCCCCTGGTGTCTCCTGTTAGTGAAGTTCCCTCTGCAGATGACCTTGCCCTGTGCCTTGGTTATAACTCTACACCCTTCCTTCCCATAGTTGGAGTTGGGGCCAGTGACCTTGCCCCCTCCCCCGGCAGAGAAGTCCTTTACTCAACACGGTGACCAGAATAAAGTCTTCTCGCCCACACTTTAATGAGTGCCAATGAATATATATTTTCTTTAACACGGTTTGGACTCCAAAGTAGCCTAACTCATGAGAAAGCTATGCAAGAATGTTTTAAAGGATATTTTTTAGAAGGGGATTTCTGCAGACATCCCAGCCGCTTATAAGGCAGCTAGAACCTCTGCATTTGAAGCACAGCTATTCCTGGAGTTGGTCCTGCAGGTGTGGGAAAAAGTAGAGGTTTTTCAACAAGAAGAAGAAGAGG